GCCCCCGGCCGGGCGTGCCGCCCTTACATAATGCTTTTATGTAACCGGCCGGGACCAGGAGCTCTGCTCTCTCCTGCCCGGTGGCGGGACCCCTCACCCCACGGCCCCGCTGGAATGGGGCTTTTCTTGCTGTAAGATCCGAGTTGCTTAAACACTGAGAGGCCAACCCAGTCCTCAAAAATCACGTTGCGGCGCGTCAGCCGCGCACTGCCCTAGTGGGGTGCGTGTGGGGAGAAGGGGCTCCCGTCTTGGCCCTTTAGGGGGAAGGATCCGTCCCTGTCAAAAGGGGCTTTGCCAGCAGACGGGGAGCCAGGAGCAGGCACTTGGGGCCTGGGCGGCCGCAGGGCAGGGCAGCCTTAGCTCCCGCAGCACCTCCATGCTCTGGGATGACCCTCACTTAGGCCAGATACTGCCCCAAAACCATGGTCACGCAGTGGCACAAGGTGCGAGGGCTCGGTCCTGAGGCGACAGAGCACTGCTTGCACCTCGGGTGCCAGCAGGAGATAACGGCGTTTTATTTGGACGGCTTCGGCCTCCCCGGCTCCTGCTGCTCTCTCACAAGTGTGGCCATGGGCCCCCCGGCGCACAGCGGGAGCTGCTGGAGGTTTACCTGGGCCCCACCATGGCCATGGGCTGGGTCAGGGTGCAGTGTCCCCGGCTGCAGGCTGTGGCCTGAGCAGGCTGAGCAGTTGCCTGCCTCGGGGAGCAGAGGAGGGAGTGTCTTAATTTGTAAAACCGAGGGGAATTAGTGAGATGTGGGTGCTTGTCTCCCCATGCCGAGTGCTTGCTGCATCATTCGAAGCCCACTGCTTCTCTCTGTGCCTCAGTTTCTCCGTCTGTGGATTCACCACCTGCTTAATGTGAGGCTTAATTCCTTGTGTTCACAAAGTGCTCAGAGATCCTGGATGGAGGGAGGTGTTGAGAGCTCACATGCACTGTGCTCATTGCCTGTTCTTCCAGGCTCCAAATCTCCATGCTTTACTTAGATGACCTCTGCATCTCAAAATCACTTCACTGCTTTTCCCTACAAAACAAGTCTCTGCACTGATTCATTCTGAACTTGCATATTTGTTTGCTTTTCAGACAATTCTATTACATTTCTGTATAACTCTATTCAGAATGCTACAGCCTTGGTTAATATTTGTCAAATGGAGTTCCGACTGTCTAAACCACTGGGACGAGTTTCATTTTATATGTCATCAGTAGGGGCAGAATGAGGAGCTTCATGCTTGGCCTATTTGCTGTAACACAGTCTCAGGGCCATTGCATCAGAGTCAAAACAAGGAGAAGCTTGTTTCCAAACAAGAAGCATGGAGGAGAGTCTTCTCTGCCTCCTTCCCTGTAAGGGAAAAGAGATGAGAGAGGGGGGTGGTAAGGGGGAAGAAAGTTATCTTTAACAGATTCTAAAAATGCCTTTTCCCAAATATGCAGTCAGTCCCTTCAAAGGTCTCTTTGTTTATTTTCAGGAAGAAACCCAAGACAGCTGAAAACCAGAAGGCGTCTGAGGAGAATGAGATTACTCAGACGGGTGCATGCAGCGCCAAGCCGGGCCTTTCCTGCCTGAACCTTGAAGCTGTTCTGTCTCTGAGCCCGGCCCGCATCCACTCACCCCATTCACCAACAAACCTGCACGCACACACAGGGTCATCTGATTGTGAGTACACCAACACACTGCTGGGTTGCACCGGGGTTCTTGAAAACACACTCCTTACTGCAGACCAGGTTTTCCAGTTGGATGCTCTTTTTGTTATGGCACGAGCACAACTTCCTCAGGGCTTACCTTTTCACATCTTTGGGAGTTACCACTGAAACAGAGCGTTTTATGTTAAGGTCATGATAATGCAGTCAGCCAGAGGAAGCTGGGAGCATGTTGTTGGTTCAGGTTGCTGCTTCTTACGAATTAAAAAAGGAAGACCCCCTCAAGCGTGTCTCTTTCCAACTAGAGCTGTAGGAATTCCTCTCCAGGTAGTCACATGCTTCTCGTTACCCAAGCATATCTACTGACTGGGAATTTTTAGCTTGTGCTATATTGCAGTAGGAGAAAACAAGTGTCTTGCTCCGACAACCAGGATTGTAAAGGATTTCCAACAAGAAAAGGGGGAAGTGTTTCGTGGAGAGGATCAGTCTGTGAGAGTCTGGAAAATCTTCTAGACCTGCTTGGTTGTACCAGTTTAAGGCCCTTGTATTGAGTGCATTCACTTTCAGATTACTCAGCATGGGTTAATTGGCCTGTTAAAAACGTTCTTTTCCATTTTGCCAAAAAATACAAAAATGAGGGAATCCAACACAATGATTAAAACTGGATTTTGGAAAGTCAGAACTTACCCTGTCAGCTCTTCAAAACATTGTCATTTCACATTGGTTCCTCCCTAACAGTCTCTTGGGCAAGAATGTGCAGGGTGATGTGAACCTCGTCATTCACTAGTTTTAGAATATGTAGTTTACCTCTTCTGTGATGGTTTTAGGATGTTGTAAAATTTACAAGGGGCAAAAAAAGGAGAAAGAAAGATGATGATACCATGTTTCAAGAGCTCAGAAGCCAACCAGACTGAGCAAAGGCCTATAAAAAAAAATCAGGGCATGACAATAAAAAATCAGATTAAAAAGTATGTATATCCTTTTCTTTTTTTAATTTAAAAATCCAGCCTCAGGGCCATGCTTGGAAGCAGCCGGGTTATAAGGATCATCACTATCAAAATCACTTTAGCTGCAATTCATTCCTGTTGGCTTCTGACTTTATTCATTATGAGCTTCTTCTAGAGATCTTGATTTTAATAGAGCTGGTAAACATTGGGGAGACTTTCTTAAATCTCACCTGGTGATTTGGGGAGAAGAAAGAGATGTGAAACAATTGAGCAGCAGGCAGCATGCAATTTAGTATGTACAAGAATTCTCTTCAAATTGGAGATGTCAGGCTCTTTGTTAAAACTGGGGTACAGTTTTGTCTTGTAATGTTTTCTGAAAACAAAAAGCTTGTGAAGAGATGCAAAAAATGAGCAGAACAACAAGAAAAAATAATCCCTGTTTTCAAACAAAGAATCTCTTTATCCCATTCACAAAGATGAAAGAGTTCATCAGTAAATGGGATTTGAAACCTCACACTGATGTTTTCTGACAGTACAAATGGAAACCCATGAAAGCAACCTTAAGACAGAGGCCAGCAGGGGTTGTGTGGAACTTGGGAGAATGAACTCCTGCTTTTGCTTTCTGGGGTGGCCAAGTTCAGGGGTGAGGAATATTGGCACAGGGCAGTAGGAGGAGGTGGAGCCTGCAGCTCTTCATGCTCTACCTGTTCTATAGACAAACAGAGTCTTTTAGACCCCGAAGTTTTTAATGTCTCCAAATCACCTTCCATTCCTACTAAATTCACAATACCGGTATGAGTAAATTGCAATCCCAGGTTAGCTGCTCCTTTCACTCAAGGTGGGTTTTCTGGATAAGAAGTTTAATACTAATTTCAGCATTAATATTGTCCTAGCTAAGGAACTGTTGAAATTTAGTTCACAAAATACAGTTCCTGCAAAAATTCAAGAAGTGGTAAGAGACGACGTCTTGTGGCATTGACCTCTGTTAGTTGATTCCACATGCTTTGAAACCAATGGAAAAAACTCCCATTATTTATGATGGGTTTTAGCCTTTATCAGTCTGTATTTGTTTGGGGTGGTATGCATATCATTAGTGTTTGGCATGCGCATGCAGAATAGCTATGCCAATTTCTCACATGAACTAAAAATGAGGCATGATGAATATTTACTGCGTATTTACTACAGCTATATCCCGTGTTATGTGGTATGGTTTTTTAATATTGCCTCAGTCTTTATTATTATTAACCAAGAGGTTAATATTTGTGGGTCTCAACATTTAAAACTAGGCTTCTCTGTCATTACAAACTCCTCCTCACCTCTTGCCTTCCCTGAGTTTTGGACTGATTCTTTCACCCCACCTTAGAAACCCTCCCTTTGTTCTTTGGAGCTACATTACCACATTTTTTTTCCTCTCAACTTTTGGACCTGTGGTGGTGCTTTACTTCTTAGGGCCAGCAGCACTTCCTGTCCTTCTCTCTGCCTTCTAGACACTACAGCATTGCTTTTCCAACCTTGCCCAGACCACAGCTGGCCACATTAGATTTCATTTTCAAAGAGCATTCTTCATTCTGGTGCGGAGTTTTCTAGTGGTTGGTAAGTAAATCAAAAATACTTAAAAACTAGGATTAGACAAGAAGTTTGAGAGGAATTTTCCTTTAAAATACCAGAAAAACCCAGAAAAAGTCAGCACGGTAGGGTTTATCAATTCTTGGAAAAATGCACTGATGTACACAGATGTACACTGATGTACACAGATGGTTCCATGATACATTCATGTATCTGGAAAAAAGACTTGGATATTATGGGCCACCTATTCAAATCAGTTTGAAATTTTCACTGACCATTTTGCATGCACAGTCACTAGTCCTTGGCAGAAAACAACACCACATATTTATTATGAGAAATATTCAGAAACCAATCTACTTTAAAGAATCAAGGTGCTTTTGGAATGATTCAGATCAAAATACTTTTTCCAAGCATAGGAAATAAAAGCTCTATGATAGCCATCTGCTCCTCAGCTGTAAAAGGCAGAGGTGAAGAAAGCCTAAGCAATAGTCTGAATGCCAGTCTTCCTGAAATGAGTACTTAGCAAAAAAAAAATGGGTAAATTCATATGTGATGCATAACTTAATTTAGGGCTTAATTCCTTAGTGTGGTACATTCTACATGCTGTTTCTGGTGCTACTTATTCCCAAGGAAATTGCATTACTTCTGACCCTTGTAGGACTGGGTCCTAGATTTCTGGATTTGAACATTATGATATATTTCCAGCGCAGATGAATCCTTGAAGCAAAAGCCAGAACCTGGGATGCATTGTGTCCAGCTCCCATCTCTTTTGCTCTTGGGAAATGCTAGCTCACGCAATACAACTGGAGAAACAAGTTAGAGGAAGAGGTGCTTCTTGAGGTAACTGTTTTCATGTAGGACTTGGCAGAAAAAAAGCACCACTTTGAAATAATTTGGAATTAAGTCATAGTGTGAGCTGATAGAGCTCCAAATGAGTTATACCTCTAGCTACTCAGCTGTCACAAACAGATGTAGCTGCTTACCCAGAAGAAAGGTGTTTGTGCTAAAAGTGACGAGGACAAGCATGGAGACACAGGTTCTGGAAAGGTTACAAAGAAGGAAAGCGTACGAGATCGGTGCTATTTGGAGTTTTCCACATACTTTCTTGCTTATGGATAAAGAATGCATGAAGTTGGTAGGGTGCTAGTTCCAAGGCTGAACTGCCTTAGGTAAAGTTTCTAAATATTTTGCTGAGAGGGAAGGAAGTCATCAGGACTTGGCTGTATTTAAACTGATTTGGTCTGGATAGGCCGCTTACTTCAGGAGCCCTTCAGAAAGCATCTATAACTATATATGTTTTGCAAGTGCCAAGAGATAAGATCATTTTGGCAGAAACTTTCACGAGTTCTCAGAGATACAATCAGACAAAAACTTCATTCAAGCTCTGATGTATGCATCTTAACAGATGTGTCCAAACTCAAAGGAATCCCACGGGAATAGTGCAACTGAATCTCTTTGTCTCTGTTGATAGTTAAAAGAGTTATTCTTAGACACTGGATGGTCCATCTGTGATGGAATTTGTTCCAGACAAGGGAAAAGCAACATCTTTGCAAAGAGATTCCATGGGACTGAGAGGCAGGTTGTACAATCATTGGAAAAACCACTGAAGCAATTTTTATCATTTTAGAGAACACAGAATTCTTGCAGAGACCCGAGGTTCTGGTAGGGAATGAAAGTTGAGAAGGAAAGTGAGGCATGGCTAATCTTTGAAAAACCCATGAAACAATCATTGGCAAGACATTGAGATGGGGGAGGACTTTCTAAAGCTATGTTTTAGCAAGGGACCGGGGCGGGGGGTTATGCATTAAATAGAATGCACTTTATAAACACTGTCGGTGATGGACCACATCTGAACCTTTTGTCCATACATGCTCAAGTGATGTGGCTGTCTTGGCCCAATTCCAGCATTTTTTAGCTTTCACAGGATGGGAACTTTGAGGCAGTCTGTTTTCTTTTTCTCCTTCTGAGTTCTGATTTTTGTAGCTTGATGGCCTTCTAGCATAATGGGGAAAGGCAGAGAGGGAACCTCACAAGCTTCCTGAACTCCACAGAGCACTGAGAGTGGATGTGGAAACTCTGGGTTTTCATTTTCCTAAGCAGCTAGAGAAACCCACCATTCCCTTCCCATGAATCAACAAGTTTGATTTGCCTGGGGCAAATGTAGAGGCTAGATGGATCTGAAGGTGGTTTGGCCTCGTCTTTACGTTTTAGGTTTCCTGTGTTTCTCTTCGAGGTTCTGTGGCACGAAGAGGATGGTTGCGTGCCCTTATGGTCTTCCCTTTGCCTCTGGAAATCTGTGGCTGTGATTCCCTAGGAGCTGCTCTGGAGCTTTCAAATGATCTCCACTCTAGAGGGGAGGAGGGGGACCCCAATTCTACCAGCTTCCTTGTTTTCAGGGTCAGGCAGTGTGTCAATAGTCAATTAATCTGTATTTTTGCTAGTCTATGTATGGTATGTGTTAGATAATGCTGAATATTTTTAGGTTGGTTTTGGTGACCTAAGA